GGAGAAGAAAAAAAAAAAGAAAGTGGACGTGAGACCATATACTGTTCATCTCTTTTCTTTCCTTTTCCTTTTTTTGTTGAAAGCCCAGGGCCGTGGTCCCATTAGCAAAGAGCATCGGATTGAATGCCTGAATCTGATCGTGTTTGAGGACAGGAGCAGGAAATCGAGATAGAACTGCTTTTCTGTATCGCTGCATAAAACATAGCCAGATTCAGGATTTCTATCCTATCCCCTTCGCTAGTGAGACCACGGCCCAGGGTGTTGTAGACGCCAAGGAGTACGATTTATGCGTGTCATCCTTGAGTTGGGTCCATTTGCCAATTTACCCTTCTCTGTATTGTTCCAATTTCATCGGATGTCCAAAAGGACAGAGTCCATATACTGTTAGCATGCAGGGCATTGCAGGCCATGAACTCGGATCGGGAATTTTTTTTTTTTTTTTTTTTTTTTTTTTTTTTTTTTTTTTTTTTTTTTCAGAGGTATCTCGGAATTGGCCCAATAAAACATCAGAGAGTAAGCACTTGAGGGCATGCTCACACAACCACGTTTTGAAATGTATCTGGTCGCAATTATGGCAGTACCTGGATGCACCTGACCGCTATCACAACTGGAGCTGAGGCGAAAAAGTCGCCGTGTGGGCATGCATGTTTTTCGTTCTGCCCCGTTTGCTCTTCGTTTTTTCTTTCCTTTTCTTTCTTAGGAATTCCGCTCTTCGTTTTTTTAGTTTTTTTTTTGCTTTTTGTTAAAAAAAAAGAAGGTCCAGGTTGTTGTAGAGGCTAGCCACCAGGGGTCTGGTCCCACCTACCGTTGTTGAGTTTAGAAAACTTAAAATGTAAGACGCCATCTCGACATTAATAAATTTGAAACAAGCAATAAAAAAAAAAGCTGAAAAAATACGCTAGAAACAGCTTTTCTCCTTATTTTTGATAACGCAAATCGGAGAAATGAAACATGTCTGGAACAGTCAGAGTGAATGTCTCCGTGAAAAASGGATACTCCCCGTGGTGAGGGGACAGGAGGTCACCATTTGTAAAACGGACAGGGACAACGTGGATGGCCAAATGCATTCATTGCCCAAAGAAGGAAACGAGCTTCATGCCAGAGAGCCAAACGCAGCTGTCAGAGTTCCTCCGTTTCAGGATGTCATGATGTTTAAAAAACCAAAAAAAAGGAAAGGCACTGCAGTTGAGAAATGTACCCTACCCTCGGTAGGGTAGTTTTCTCAATGGAAAATGGTTTCCCGCCCAAACCAAAAGGGCCAAAGCATACTACAAAACGGATTTCACGTCAAAGAAAAATTCTACAAAATGAGAAAATCTAATAGGTTATTCTCCTGTATTTCGGTACCATTAGATCGCAATGCATCAACGGCAGAGCTCCGTTCCGTCCCACCATGCCACACGTGATAGAAGGCTCAGCGTTGAGAAAACTCGACGCTGTAGGTGGGACCAGACCCCAGGCATATGACAGTCCCTTCAGCAGTTGGCCAATCCATCATCCACATGATTTATTTCTGTACAGTTCCCGCCCCCCCCCCTCCTATCGGACTCCCCCCTTCCACCCTTACTCATCATTATTGTCCCCAGTGCATCCCTACTCCCAAACTTTAAGTGGTACCTTCGTGTTTTTACCACCCAGGATCATCACCCTTTTCCAGCGACCTGACCCCGGACAGTGGTTATAGGCGTCAGGGCTAAGCAGGTCCTCACTTCCCTCCCTCCCCAGCCCTGCTTGAAGCATAGTCGGACGAGCCCTGTCGTACGGGTACTTCGAGCGCTAGGTGGCTAGGGCCCTGTCGTACAGGTACTTCGAGCGCTAGGTGGCTAGGGCCCTGTCGTACAGGTACTCCGAGCGCTAGCGCTAGGTAGCTAGGGCCCTGTCGTACGGGTAATTCGAGCGCTAGGGGTCGACGTTCTACTACAAGTCCCATAGGTGAACCCTTTTTTTTACCATGTCAGAGAGAGAGAGGGAAAAAAAAAAAAAAAAAAAAAAGAAGCCTTGTCACCATCAGATCCCTCTGGTTATTACCTTCAGTTCTACGCTCTTGGACCCTTTCCCATCAGAGGGTGTTCTTACCTAGAACGTCCCCAGTTTCTGTCCTCGGCAGGCTCGCGGTCACCATCCGCTCCCCCTTACGTCTAGTATAAATGGGGTCTCTTGTAATTCTTTATCTACCACACCGCTGTCGGACCAAATACCCTTACAGGAAACCCCGTCTCTGTCATGGCGGAGCCAGTCAAAAGAGAAAAATGACCCTTATAAATGGGGTCTCTTTTGCAAATGACACAGCATTGGCAACGCCTGCCATGGCGGAGCCAGTCAAAAGAGAAGAATGACAATACTTCAGCAGGATACCGTCAGACGGACTCTTTGATCGTTAATTTCAAGAACATTCAGAGGCCCAACACTTACCTCAGGGTGTGGGACCGCCGTGCACCGCTGTGCCCAACACCGCGACTCGCTGGCAGTGGATCTTTTTCTCCGTTTTTTGTGCTTTTTTTTTTGCTTTGTTTTTTGTTTTTCTTGTTGTTTAGTTTTTCAGAATTTTTTTCTCCGTGCGATTTGAAGAGGGCGGTCGAAAATTCGGTGGCCCTCGAAGACTGATGCTGGAGCAGCGCTGACCGGAGCCGGCGGAGCCAGGTGGCGCAACTCTGTGACCTAGTTTATTGGGGGCGTGAGGCCTGGTAGAGAGAACTGGGGGGCTGTTTGCGGGGGGGACAGTCTCAGTGGCCATTGGGGGGTCGTAGCTGGAGCAATGCTAGCCGGAGCGGGAGCAAGGTGGTGCAACTCTGTGACCCGGCCTGACGGGACCATGAGGCCTGGTAGAGGCCCGGCTTGTGCTGAAAATGGCCATCCTTTTCTTTTTTTCTTTTTTTTTTTTTTGAAAATTAGGTGAGATTGAATGGGTTTTCAACTTTTCACCTATCTATTTCGTGGATGGGAGGCCTTTTGATATTACAAAAAAAAAAGTATTGTTGAAATGGTTCGTATTTTAGTAGCGACTCATGACTTCTCCAAAATTTCCTTGGAATTTTCTTGATTGATTCTCAGCCAAGGCCGGATAATGGCCCCCGTATTTCACATGTTTCGTGTAATTCCACATGGGACGCTGGGCCCGGTTCCCAGCAAGTGCTGCTCCCCATGAATAGAATGGAGCAATTATTTAAAAGCCACCACTACCTTTCACAGGCAAACACAAAGTCCATCTAGCAGCCTGCTCCTGAAAACACGGGGCTCGGGGCAGGGTTGGAGGCAGGCGCAGGCAAAATAAAAATTAAAAAAAGAAGAAAAAAAAAACAAAAAAACGAAGTGTTTCTAATCGAGGGACGTCGGGAAGGGGAAGGCCCTCACGAGGGTGGCACGTAACACCATTGCTTTGAGGAATGTATCTGGCCACTATGTGGGGAAGTGGTTTTTTTTTTTTTCATGACATTGTAGTTCGCTGCCAGCCAGGCAGTGTGTATTTCGTAACTGTCTCAATGGTGTAGCATCCTGTATCCGCCCTTAATCACAGCACAAGGGAGCTTTTTTTTTTTTTTTCTGTTGTTTGCCCGGTACACGCCATTTCTTAGGTCTTGCAGGCATGCCACGCCGCTTTCCGGCCAGATTATCCAGATGGAATGGATTGAGAATGAATCTTGAGCAAGAACATGGAAAGCTACACTGCCATAATTTTTGTCTTTTCTGCATGTGGGAGGCGCTAGAGCAAACCCCCATGTGGGCTGTGTGATGTGTATGCGACTACTCGACAGGAGGTGGTAGAAGAGACGCATCACGACAGGATTTCACCGATGAAGGAGGTACACCATCACTGTTGGGTGGGAGACAGGGGTTATGGAGAGCTGGGTGGCAGTTTTTGGACTGCATGAACCTGGCTCATAACAATGGGCATGTTCGGCGAGGGAGACCGTCGTGGGAATTCTCCCTGCAATTTTATCATTTGGGTCCTAAGCATGGAGAGAATACAACGAGCAATGTCTACTCCATCCAGCCCCGATTCCAACCTCGGTCCCGATTCCGGGCGGTTATGGGAAGGAGCAGGAGGAGCAGGAGGCTGCCGACGACGAGGAGGAGGGCTGAGATGTTGATCTGACGAATGTCCACCCACCAGCATCCGTTCAGGTGTGAGCAGCCATGCCCGTGCAGCTCTGCATCCTCTTGTCTTGGATTTTCATGCCTTCAAAATCATTGCGCTTTTGAAATCTACTAGGCCCTAATGTTATCGTATGGCGAGGGGATTTAAGTCTCAACCTGTCCATCAGCTCCGCATCCTCTATTGGTTCTGGGCGTCCCGTTCAATTCTTTTTTTTCATTTTTTCATTTTTTCTTATTTGAAAAAAAAAGAACGTCTTTTCTAAAAGAGGTGGTACAAGCACTCCCTCCTAGCAAGAGTCCCCTAATGTTATCGTATGGAGCACCAGGCGTTGAAGGCTCCATCTATTCGTCAACAGTTACAAAGAGGGTACCCGGGTACCCACATGGTGCCGGGGGAAGCGAGAGGGAAGCAGTCCCCAACCAACGGCATGAATCTGGTCAAGCATAGCAGGCAGCAGCTCACGCTTGCCGCTACTTGGTCCCACTCGAATGAGCGACCTCTGGTACATGGTCACCAGACTTACCACCTGCGACCTCTCTTTTTTTTTTTTTTTTTTTTTTTTTTTTTTTTTTTTTTTTTTTTCGGGAAGAACAACCCGCGACCGGATGCTAGGTGTGCTGATATGCGTTACCTGGGGGCGTGATTAAACAAAGCCCCGACGACTAGGAGCGGCCGGACGCAGAGAAGAAACGGCTAACGCGGGCAGCTTTCAAGAGCGCACTGGCCTACATGTTATCTGTATAAAATGAAGTTTTGGTAAAAATAAATAAATAAATAGATAAAATTTGGTGGATGGCACCTGAGAATGTGCCCTTCCTTGCCTGGATAGCCGATTGCGTGCACTGACACACAGCCTCCCCCTGCTGCTCCTCCTCCTCCTCCTCCCACTTGCGCCATCTGGTGAGAGCCCAGAACACACACCAGCCTCCAGCAGCTCCCCTTACCAACAAATACACACACTTGTACACACGCAACACCTTGGACATGAAAGGGGGCCGGGCCGGGAAAGAAAGTAGTAGGCAAGCACGCACAATACAAGAAACCTTAATCTATGCCACCGTGGAAACGTTGGGCATTATTCAGATTGTTACTGTCGTCAAGGATTACCCATGAAGGCGGGCCATTAACGAACTCCAGGGTGGCTTGTGTCTGTTCCTCTTGCAACCACTGCTGGACATCCATGCGTAGAGCCAGCATTTTTTCCCGCCGCTCCCGAGAGCCTCCGCCCTCCGCCCACTTGAAAGGCGCACCCAGATCGCGGAGAAACATCTCCAGCGCATCTTCTATCTCTGCCCAACCTTTCTTTCCTTCCCAATTGTCGCCGCTCAACACAATCTCAACCATCAGTCCCTCTTCGTCCAAGCGATCAGGGAACTCTGCCTCCTTCCTCTTCGCCTTCCCGCCACAACCGCCTCCCTCTATCCCCCGCCGCTCGCTTGTATTCTGCATTTCCCTCTTTTTCAGCACATCCATTTGCATCTCTCGAAGGCACAACAGCAACATAACCTGCATGCTCCCAACGCTCAGGTTCCGCAGCTCTAACACACTGCTGTTTCTCTGCAAGGGTTTACTGTAGTACAAACCCCTCGCCATGCCCAGCTGAACGACTGCCCTCGCTCGCGTCTCCTGTCCCATAAGCCACAAGCTATCCACCAACGCATTGAACAAGGCCCGGCGCTCGCTTACGTGGACTGCTATCCTGGTGAATGGCTCCAGGTAAGAATAGGCAGTCCTCCAGAGTTCGCGCTCCTTCTCTTCCTCCTCGGGTGACAGCACCGGCAGCGCCCGCACGGCTTTCCTGCCGCTCACACCTTGCGGCTTTCCTCTCTGCTTGCCGTTCCGGTTGTCTTGCTTCTTCTTCAAATCGCCCGCCCATGACTCCTTGCCAACCACGAACTGTACCACCTCATCAGGGAATTTCAAGATTGTCATCGAGTTCACCACAAGCTTCCAGTCTTCCCAGCTTCCGCACTTCTTGCAGGCATTCAATAGCGCTGTGAAAATGACATTGCCTACAAACGATCGTGACGCCTGCATGTCCTTTGCAACTTCGAGAACGATATCCATTCGCCCCAGGTTCGTAGCAGCGTCCAGCATTGCCATGTACGAAGCCTGATTGCGCTGGGCACCTGTCGCCGTAATGCCTCGATAGGTAGATCGCGCCCTTTCTATATCCCCGCTCCAACCGTATAACCTGACCATGGTGTTCTGCATCACGACCAAGTCGCGATGGCCGACTGCGTGAAATGAACGGGAGACTCGTTTTGCGTCTTCTATACGTCCCGCATTACAATACGCATCGACCAGAAACGCATACGATCGGTTGTTAGCTTGCAAGCCGCGCTCCTTCATTAGCGACATAAGATTCTCCACCTGATCCCACATCCCCATCGCGGCATACCCATTCATAAAGAGGTGGATGGCGCTTTGGTGAAGGTCCATCCCTCTCCCCTCCATATCTTTCACCAGCATCCATGCATCCTGCATCCGTCTCGACTTGCAGCACGAGTCTATCAGGAAATTGTAGCTAGCCCTATTCATCCCAATTGCCTGGCCAGTCTCTTTGGCACAGAGCGATTCGCCGCCCTCGTCCGCCTCAACCTCGTCCTTGCACTCGGGATAGTCAGCATCCTCGTAATCCTCGTAATCCTCGTCTTCCCCGCGATACCCTCTCTGTCTACGCTTCTCGCCAGGCCTCCCTCTGCCTACATTGCCCTCTAAATCAGTCGTTCCGTGGCCAACCTTTTCCATCCATTCCTGACCGGCTGCGGGATGAGCTTCTGTTTCCCAGTTCCTGTCATCCCCCTCCTTGGAAAACACAGCTCGCCGCTTTCTCTCTTCATGCCGAATCACCTCGTACACCGCAAGCGCCTCATCAACCATACCCCGTGCTCCATAGCCTTCAAGAATGAGTCGGTACGCGCTCAGATCGGCAACCCATCCTCTGCTTCTGTAGTAGGCAACCAACCCGGGGACACCATCTATAAACCGCTTACACATTGCGCCTAGAATGGAGTGGCACCTTGCCCTTTCCAAATCCCCAGAGGGTACCGACACCCTTCCGGGAGTTGCACCCCCTTTCGCCGTCCTGTTCAGTATGCTTGCTGCAAACTGCCATAGACCAGCATGATTATCGCACTGCTTCGCAAATGCCTCCAAAAGCACAGCATATAACCGCCAGTTCGGTCGAGTGCCTTGGTCTTCAAACATTTCCAACAAGCCTTGCATGCTTTGATACTCCCGCGCCTGACCCAGAGCATCCACAAGCAGACTCAATGTCTTCATCTCTAACACCCCAAGCTCTCGCTGGCAGCTGCCGACAACTCTAGCAACGTCGTCCCAGCGTTTGGCAGCACCATACACCTCAGCCATGGCATGGTATGTTGACCACTCAAAGCTCGTTCTCGCTGTTCCTGCTGCTCCTCCTCCTCCTCTGTTACTCTCATCTACTGCCCTCCTCTCCTGTAGCATTTGCAGGAGCTCTTCCATCTTCTCAAACCTCCCTGCCCTGCCGTATATTTCGACAACCGACCTGCAAATGATGTCGTCCGGCGGCAGTTTTTCTGTCGCTATCGCACAAAGGAGTTTCTCCAGGTTTTCCCACTGCTGCGTTCGGCCCATGACATCAATCATCGCCGCATACGTCGTCTGATCCGCCTGGAGTCCATCCTGCGGTGAACACAGCATCGACCCAAAAAAGCACGAGACAGGCTGAACAAAAAAAACAAACATTACAGGCCCAATATAATACACCGTGGATTTTGTACAAAACGCAGTCCCATCAAATGTAGGCACAACAATCACCGTTTACTACCAACGGTTCACTTGCAGCAGCCGGCAGAGAGGACACTCGACATGGCCAGTCCATCCTGTAATGCCAAGTGGTGCAGTCACATTCAATGCCGGAATGGACCACGCAAGATGAGATGGAACAGATGCCTGTTCCGCCAGGTCCAGTCCATTTTGCACTGGTTTAAGAGTGTAGTAGTGTACTCGCAATACAGGGTGTTGGATTTTGTGCAAGACACAGTCCCATCAAATGTAGGCACAACAATCACGGATCACCACCAACGGTCACTTGCAGCCGCTCGCAAGTCACAGGGACTTGCAGCAGCCGGCATGGGACACTTGACATGGCCAGTCCATCCTGTAACGTCAAGTGACGCAGTCCCATTCAAGGCCGGAATGGACCACACGAGATGCAATGGAACAGATGCATGTTCCAGCAGGTCGAGTCCATTTCACACTGGTTTAAGAGTGTAGTGGTGTCCTCACACTAGGACTCTTATGTATCTGACTGCAAGTACCGCCAGTCCTGGATGTACCTGACCACAACTGGGTCCACAAAACAGTCAATGATACAGTGCGTTGAGGAGTGTGCACGCCTAGAGTCGTTTGTCGGCTTCGCTAGGTCCAGTAGAAGCGTTGGACTCGAGTGGAGTAAGCGCGCCGCCCTGCAACGGGCTAATGGCCAGCAGGTGCCGGGGCGGTTCTTTTACGATGGCCCCTCTTTTCAACGGGCGCGACGATCCAGGCCGCCCACGGTCCTACTAGGCCGATGGCTCGGATCGTCCCACGATCTTAAGACTTTACGATCGCGCGACGATCCAGGCAATCTGGCAGGGCAGACGGCCTGGATCTTCGCGCAATCTTGAAGTCTTAAAGTCTTAAGATCTTGCGGAAATCCAGACCGTAGGGCCAGTAGGACTGCAGGCGGCCCGGATCCCCCAATTCTCACGTTAGCGATTTCTTTAAGTGTAGGGATATATCGTCCAACAGGGTTATATATATATATATATATATATATATATATATATATATATATATATATATATATATATATATATACTTCAACTGGTAGACTTAGAAGTTCGT